CTTTAACCTACCTGGGCATTCATTAATGGATCTCAGTCACTGTGTTGTTTCAGGCCAATTCCACAAGCCAAATACACAGGGAAGCATTGGAACTTAGGAATCAGACTTGTAAATGAAATTATCAGGGAGGAATGAATAAAGATATTGGCTGGCCCCCACACTTACCTTCCACATCCTAATGACTTAACAAACAATGGGTACTTACAGAGGTGCAAATTGTCCTTATCAGCCTCTTGTAACTTGAACAATCCAATTCATTTTTTTTCTTTTTCTCCCCTCCTTCCCTTATTTATTCTTGGATCTGGACTTTCAATACTAAGTGGGTTGTGCCCATGAAAGCTCATGATACCATCTACATGTTTTATTAGTCTTTAAGGTGCTGCTAGGCTATTCATTTTTTAAGTTTGTCCAATTACAGACTAACTCAGCTACCCCCCAGATGCTTTCATTTAATTCGTCCTGAAGATGATTCTTCCAGGAAAGGTGGGAAATTTAGAGCAGATAACTTGGCCATGTGAAAGAGCAGAAGTTGTTTATTTAGAAAATAGATCTCTTCATTTGACTTGAATTCATCCCACTGGATGTTTTCAATCATTTTTGATGATACATCTTGAACGGCTAGTGCATCGTGGGGTTGGGCTTCTCTTAGTAGGTTTATGAAATGAGTGTTTTGAATTTGCTTTATTTCCCCTAACTCTGAGGATGGGGCCATCCCAGTAGACCCTTCCAATATGAGAGTTTGTCTACTAAAAGCTGAAAGTGCCATGACTAGGGATGTTAAATTTCAATCAATCGGGTAATTGAATAGTCAATGCAATTTGCATGGACTATTTGATTAGTCAATAAGGGTGCCCCAGGGTTGTTGCTGCACTTCAAAGGCAAAAGTGCTGAGGGGAACATGGGGCCAGCAGGGGCCTCAAGCAATCCTCCGTGTGCTCCCCACGGTTTTTCAAAGCAGCAGCACCACATGAGCATGGGATCAGCAGGGGAGTCCCCAGCTGACCCTGGGTTCTATGTGGCACTGCCACTTTGAAATGCCACATGCAGCCTGGGATTCCCAGCTGGCCCCAGGCTGCTCATGGCGTTTCAAAGCAGCAGCGCTGAGTAGAGCCCAGGGTCTGGCCCCAGGCTCCATGTGGTGCTGCCGCTTTGAAACACCCCTAATCTCCCTTGCTGCCTCTTTCTGATAGGCAGCAAGGAAGGGAGAAACTCATCAGCTAGTGTGCCGACTATCCGATAAACATTTGCTTATTGGATAGGTGACTAGTCGTTCACATCCCTCGCCATGACTGCAGCTACTTCTAATGCGGCACACTGACCACTCCCCCTAGAACCCAGTGGCCCCATTAGGGAAGAGCTGTGGTTGAAAGATATCAAAAGTAATCTATTCCTAAAGCCATGCTGCAGTGAGCAACTGGCTTT